CTCTCCCTCTCTCTCTCCCTCTCTCTCTCTCTCTCTCTCTCTCTCTCTCTCTCTCTCTCTCTCTCTCTCTCTCTCTTTCTCTCTCTCTCCTGCTCTCTCCCATTCTCTTCCCTTACGGTCTAGTCTTTTCTTTGGATTCAAGTGTCTTAGTTGATGGACTGATCGAGGGTAAGATGGCAGAAAGTACCATGCCGTACGGGTGCTGCCATTATTGTAAACAGTACGGGTACTTCATTGCCCGTTGTCCGCTACTCGGATGAGGTGATGGTTTTATCTCTGGTACTCCAATCGGAAGACCGCCAGTGATTAACCCTCTGTACGCACCCTGTGCTCCTCCTCTGCCTGTGCATCAATCTACACACATGGCGTCCTCCTCCAATACTGTTGGCGTTGTACTGCGATCCAGGTCTCCTTCGCCGGCACCTTCAGCGGCAAATGCAAATGTCCCGTACCAACCTAGAATGAACATCCGCAGCGCCATGGGTTACAACAATCCGATGAGGAGCAACCAAGGCGAGATTGCTGCTGTGCTTCGAAAGCTTGTGAACAGTGACAGAGAAAAACGAGAAAGCGGGAGGTGTGAAGAGGACAAGAAGCAAAAAGAGGAGCAGATGCTAAAGGCAAAAGAAGAAGAGGAGAAGCGACGAGAGGAGAATGAGAGGAAGAAGGTTGACAGGAAAGTAAGAATGGGCAAACTGTTTGCTGAACAATTTGCGGCCATGGAGAGAAAGAAGAAAGATGACGAGGCGGTTGGTAAAAGAGATCCTGCGAAGGGTAAGGAGATAGCATCCGGAGGCGTGAGATCAAGTGAGGACAAGCCCAAGGCACGAGACGGGAGCCTTAAAATCGGTGACAATGAAGCGAAGAAGAGGGGTCAAGAAGCACTCCAGGGTGGGTCAACGCTGCAACCAGATGCCGGACGACAGAAGGTGCAACCTGAAGCAATTATGGGTCCGCTTGATGACGGGCTCCTACTAATGAATTTCAATACTCTCAAGCATGAACAAGAGTCCTTCCAGCGATCGCAGGAATCCATGCTGCAACGAATGGTGGCCGCTATCGAAAAACAGGGCTCTACCTTTCCCCCGCAACATCCTGTGTTTCTAACTCCCGGCCCTCGTTTCCTGTTCCTCCTCCCCATGCCCCATTGCACCATGGCAATGCTTCCTATGGTCGTCGATCTACTTCCTTTCCCCCTACGCATCATCAACGTGCTGCCTGTCCCCCTCCACCTCAGCAGCGCCCTCCATCGCCACCTCGCCCCCACTTTCCCCCTCCACCTCAGCAGTGCCCTCCATCGCCTCCTCGTCCCCACTTTCACCCTCCCTCTAATCCTGTCGACGGACGCCCCCCATCCCCTTCTGATCGGAACTACGGCCAGCCTCCGTCCCGCCCATCTTCGCGTCCATCCTCACCAACACGTCCTCCCTCCCGTCCTCCTTCCCCTCCCCYTTCTCCGCCGAYAGTTCGGGTGCTTGCCCGTGCCCCAGCTCCTCCATCTCAACCACCCCCTCCCCCTCCCTCTCGACCCCTAACACGTGCAYATGCTAACGGATCTRGCGCTGGCAACACTGGCATTAGCAATCCTGATGCTGGCAACAATGGRACGCCTTCTTMTAGCGGACCAACCGGAAGATTGGCCGAGGTTTTTGCATCAGTGGCTGGTCATGCAAGGAGAATGTCTGGATCGTTCTCTGYTRTTCGATYTACGAATCTCGGATTCGAYCGAGTTYGGGAAGGGAAGAARRTAGCGGTAGCATCTGCGGGCCCGAAAGGGAGAAAGCAATATCTGGCMGATATGAAGAGGGAACTGRTGAAAGAGTACAAGGCGGATTTGGAGGTATTGTGCAGGAAGGACAACATCAAGTATATCAACAAGAAGCAGRCARYGAATGAACTGGCCGAACTACGGAYGCGGGATGCTTATGGGGATRCCGAGGRAGACRAGGATGAGGARCTGCTCAATGMCRACATCGCAGGAGAGGATGAGCAAGAAGAGGATCCCTCCTGAAGTCTGTTTGGGACAYAGGCTGGCTATGGCAGCAAGCCTGTGATATCCGCGAGGCGAGGAAACGTTGTGACTTGAGAGGGGAGCAGTACCTTCGCCTCAAAACGATGATGAAATTTTTTGTCCTAATGTTGTTTGTCGTCGGGGCGGTTAACTGGGGCCGTGAGTTTACAGATGTTTGGATTGACTCAGTTCATCGAGGTCACGATATTTATGTCGGTAATGAACGTTGTGTCTATGTCCCGATTTCGCCCTGGTTTAGAGCTACGTACATTGGATCTACTAATAGGCGAGTCTCAGACGGTTGGAAGGAACATGTCAGATTAGTGAAGTCGGATAAAAATGGGCGGAAGCATAAACTTAAACGCTGGTTAGAAAGAAAAGGATGGGAGTCTTATGTTCCTATGCCTTTGATCTTCCCTCTCGATTCGGACTTACGACAGTCGGAGGCTTCCTAAATCCATCGCTTGTGTCCTTGTCTCAACATTGTGCATGAAAACTATAAAAGGAAAAAACCTTGTAAAAAAAGAGGTCGGAGGGAAAGCAAGTCATATCGTGCCCGTCTGGGTATGGACACCACTAATTGTTTCCGCGATAACCGACTTATTGAGTTTGGTGTTTCTGCACGTTCCTCATTCGTAAGAACTGACGCTGTTCGCACGTACACACTTTGTGATACTTTGAAAGATCTTACGGATTCTGGGGTTAATTTCACTTCTTGTTTTTCCAGTGGGGGGGGTTATTATCTAGGAGGATGGGGGAAATTAAGAAAACTGTTCGGATGGATCATCCTGGAGATTAATGGATCCTGGATCTTGTTGAAGGATGCTTGGTCGGAACTGTGCTCGAGAGGTGTGTTCACTATAACCCAGCTTCGTATGAGTCGTAACCAGCATGTATCCCGCAAGTTCGTACTACTATCCTTACTACAGCTCCCACCCTCTAGAGTATTGCTGTATTATTTTGAAGTTAAGGCACTGATCCGACTGTATCACGTGATTGATTCCTTTACTTCTGCCAATACTTAGACTGTTCTGCGGAGTATTGTGGGGGCTGTCATCAGGAGGAAAGTGGGCTTTAACTGTACCTCCCCGACTGTTATAAAAATTCGGTATAATGAATCGATTTCCAAGAAGAGTGTTGTTGAGTTTTCTAAAAGGATGATCCGACTGAGATGTCGATCTGACTTTTTATCCGATTTCGTTATTTCAAGACTCAGATTTGTGTGGAGAAAGAATAGGAGTACCGAACAGAGCTTGCACAACCATTGCTCGTCGGCATCAACTGCCAATGAATTCTGCTCCTGTACTACGTCCTGCCCTGAACTACCGAGGAATAAAGTCGAGCATGTTGAAATCCGGATCTTGCAATTTGACGAGATGCCTGAGATTTTGCGTAACTCCCGGAATATTCTACCCCCACCTCTGCATGTACTTCCGTCTGTCTTGAAAAATGCACTCCGAGAGGGCCTCTGCCGACTACTGAATGATAGAATTATACGTAATAAGGAAGTGAAATCTTGTACCATCGATAAGTCTGCAGACACCGGTGCTACCATTCTCAGTCTTGACGTCTGGCTCAACCTGTTTGAGGGCTTGGTTATTGCACCCATAGACCACAATGCGGGGGACTGGCTTGTCTGTTGTATGAGCATCTACTATAATGCACTCGCAAAACTGTTTTGGAAATCGCTTCGCGTTGCTACGAACGTGTTGTGGCGGTGAGCTCTCTATCTCTCAGTCTCTCACACCTTCTCAAAGTTCGGATCTCGCCGAACTTTGCTTTCCTACAAACACTTCGGTTTGACCTTTCTTCGCATTGTGACCATGCATTTTCGACCCGCATCTGTCGAGTTTTTTTTGAATTGACTCCGAATAATTTCAATGCACAGACTTCAACTTTTCGTAGCTTCATCTGTGGGGTGTTTACGAATCAGGATGTTAAACGTGTTGTAGACAGGTGTTGTAGATAGGTGTCGCCAACATCACGTTTCTGCCTGTCATCCGCCCTGTCATTGGGTCCCCTGTCGTTGGGCCGCATTCCCCTGTGCATGTGAAGTACTTGAAAGCGTGTGGACCCTCGTGAGTATACAGTTCGTGACCTGCCGACTGCGTGTAGGCGTGGCAAAAGGGAGTGGCTATTTGCCGACTCCGTTTACGACTGTGTGCGTGGCCGTGTGTTTCGTTTGATATGTGTCCGTGGTGTGTAGGGTGCTTAATGGAAGGGAACTTCTCGACACCACGGATCATGCATTCGATATTCTCGACACCGAAGATCATGAGTCCCGAGACGCACATGCGCTTGGCAGAGACGTTTCCTCCTTGTGCGAAATCCGTGAGGCACTTCAACGGCGTGACTTCGATCCACGGAGCCACCAGAGAGGACTTCGAAGAGAACCCGTGGATGACCGTCGTCCCGTGCATGGACAGGCATCTTGACAGTTGGCACGATGTCAATTGGGCCGCGATGGAGAGTCGATGCCCTTGGGCAAGCCAGTACAAGTTCGCCAACATGTTGGAGTTTGGAGACCTCATCACGTTGCCTGACGCTGTCCTCGGACACAAGTTCCTGAGTCGTATGCGCAGAACACTGAGTTGCATTAGCCGCCATTTCAGTCACCTAGAGTGCCACTACGTCACGTCGTCGCCACGCGCGTGGACAGGATCGTTAAAACAAGAGTTGCTGGACTGCGCTCGTCACTGCTCGTTCCTGGAGCACTACCCGCTCCGTTGCCCTGGTCTTTCTCCACAAGCTGTGTCTTATTGTTGTGTGAGGTTGACTGTATCCCGAACCGATTTCGCCAGAGTGCTGTGTGTCGCCACTTGTAACAAAAGTAGGAAACTCGTCGATGCAGTTGTGCTTGTGTCACGAAACGAGGTGGTAATTGAGGGGTCCAAATTCGTCGAAGCGCGCGGGCCAGAACGTGTAGATGTATGGCCGGACCTCCTGATAGCAGGGCAGGTCCAAAACTTTTCGTTGTGGCATGAAGTGGAAGAGAAAGTGTCTGACATACGGGACTGCATTGGGAATTCCTTAGCCCGACCGGGAGTTTTCGTTCGGATGAAATACATGTTTGTCTTTTCGGAGAATGCGTCAGTCGAAGAACCGCAAATCCACGTTTACGGATCTCCAATGAATGCTGAGTATGCTTTCGGGTCACGACCTCGTCCCCGAGGGACCCCGAATGTAACCAGATCTGGACGGGTTGTCAGACCTCATGCTTGAGGGAAAAGGAGCGAGAGGTGAGACAGGCAATAGTTGATAGTAGAAGCTATATGGCGCACGTGTGGTGCAAAGTCTGAGCTATCCATCTCAACACGCTTCTGTCTGTCCTCCGAGGCCGTGGCTTTCCTGACGCGCAGCTGATTGCACTAAACACGAAAGTGCAGAGCCTTCGTCACGCACATCGCGTCCTCATGCGCATGTTCGGATCCCGGCGAACTTCGCTTTTCCACAATGCTTTCGAACCGACTGTGTGTTTCCTTACGCCCCTTCGTCGGACCCCCACCTTCACCAGACCTCGTACGTGCGGATTCATATTGCTCTGTCGTTTTTTCTCGCGTCCTCATGCGACAACGACCCGTGTCCGCCCTTGCCCAGACGACTCGTTTCGTCCGCGCTCGGATGTGGGCAGACTTCGCCTTCTCAACCAGCCTGTCAACTAAGTGCGCCCTGTCTCTTCCGGTCGCCCCCTCCAGAAGTTCGGATCCAGGCGAACTTCGCATTTCGGGTGATGTGTGGGTGTGTCAAAGGCCGTTCTGCGGTTCGTCGAGTTGCGTGAGGAAGCGACTGCAGTCCAGATAATTCACGGACCAGCATATGGATCCCACATGTTATGAGTTCTTGGGGCAGTCTTCTGGGATGCTCAATCGCAATTAGGGTCAGGTTTTGGGACCTTCTTGTTGGATGTGGGTCTGTTTCGAGCAGAGTTTCGCACTCCACAAACAGAACACCCCCCCCGGATCCCGCAGGTTATCAGTTGTTCGGACAGTCTTTCGGGATGCTCATTCGCAATTGTGGTCAGTTCGGTGGACCTTCTTGTTTGATGTGGGTCTGTTTCGAGCAGAGTTTCGCACCTCGCGAACGGAACTGCCCTCCGACACGGTTTTTCACGTAATGGCATTTGCACACTCTCTGCCAGCCAGTTGATTCCCAATGATGTACAATCACCGTGCACAATTGTCGACCATTATGATGCTTGTAAGATAGGAAGTTCGCCGACATCCGAACTACGTGAACACGTCTTTCTCTGTCGGAACTTCATGCACCGTCTGCCTCGGATTCTGGTGGAACAAGGTCAGACCCTGTCACAATCGCCCATCAACATTTGCTGAAGTCCGTCGGAATCCGGACATCGCTCATGATACATATTCTCCGATGGTAGAGCGATCTTCTATAGTAACCACATGTCCGTTTATGAGAAACGTGCGCAATCTTGACCTCCGATGGACGAAGTTCGCCGGATTCCGAACTTCTAACATATGCTATAAAGAGTTCTAAAGCTGCCCGTTTGCGCGCTAACTGTCGACAACCACCATTCCCCTCTACGCTGTTCGCTCGCCGCCAGCGCACCTGCTTTTTCCTTTGCGGTGTTCTGCTTTTCTATTTGCCTGGCTTGTAGTCCGTTGGTATCCGAAGTTCCCCATCTGCTGATTGTTGGCGGTGTTGTTTGTTTTCGAATGCATCCTCCGCTACGTCTGGTGCCGACACAATGTCTACGTCAAGAGGCGAGGAGCAGCCTACGGGGACCTCGGGGAGGGAGTCGACAAACGCAAAATCGTGGTCGAATCATGCGCACACGAAGTGGTTTGTCGATTGGTGCGGCGCCGAAGATGACGAGCCCATAAAAACCGCCTTGCGGTCCTGTCATCTTCGTGGAAGATAGAAAAGGACGAAGAGTGCTCGGCTCGGTCAAGGGATGGCAGCCATCGAAAAACCACGACAAGCAGTGCTACCTGATGCATGTCGTTTACAATTCGAAGGGCGACGTTCTGGCAGGTGCGAAAGGGGCGATTCTCTCGTGGGATCTGTTCCAGGGGATTGGTGGGGGGGCTTTGAGGACCCCTTTCTACACTGAAGTCGCTGAGGGAGGTCTTGTTTCGGCCAGGGAGTTTTTTGACGAGGTCGAGAGGAGCGACTTCGACCTTGACGATCCCTGCCAAATTTCGAGCGACCTGGAACTGTCGCTTCCTGTGCAAATATGCTCCGGGTTCATTTCCAGTGGTTCTGTACAGCCCCGACAGGGTGAGGAAATGGGTTCCGGTGGTTCAGTACAGCCCCGTCAGGGTGAGGAACGTGGTCGCTTCGATGACAGCGAGGAGGAAGAAGAGGAGGACGCAAGTTTTGCCGCAAAGACTCGAAGATCGTGGGACGCTGAGAATTCTGAGGGCTGAGAGAGGGGCAACGGTCGTCGAGCAGCCGTCGACATCGGGTGGCCGTCGCGGCTTGGGGTCGGAGGACAAGACAGTTGGCGTCGTTTCCAGCGGGGAGGGAGGGGAACAGCAGTCTACACAAAATAGAAGGGGAGGTTCTGAGGGGGAGGCGTCGGGAGCTAAAAAGAAGCAGAAGACAAAGACCCCACAACAGTCAGGGGGTAAAAGGAAGGGAGCTGAGGGGCATGTCGGCACGTCGAGTCAAAAGCGCCCGGCCTCGGCTTAGAAGCCACCCCAGTCGGCCCCTTTCCAGCCCAGAGGTGTCATCGACATCGACGCAGCATACTTCCTAGAATGGAGAAATGGCGTGCGAACAAAGCGGGGGTTCGCCATTAACCCGTCGCAAGTCATCGACATCGGCGAGTGGGAGGCGGCATACAACCAGCATTCCTTGGATCCCGTGCAAATACGGGACATTATTGACGCAATGACGATGGCCTACTCTCAGGCCAAGAAGACTTACCAGCTGCCGACACTAAAGCTCGCGCCTCTCGGGCTGGTTAAATCGACGCCCGGGGTGCGGGCGGATCGTCTGAGGCCGGAGGACTGGAAGGACGAGCTGGTAGGGCAATACTACTACTACGCTGTGGCAGGCCAGCATAACGTGGCTGCGGCCAGGGCGCTGCTTGGCACCGATGTGGCGGTGAGGTACAACTTCGAGCGTTGGGCTGCACAAATGGTGTACTTCTCGGACGAGGACTTTGAGGGGTACTTTCTGGTCAGCGCCGAGGACAACAAAAAATACCTGAAGGCCCCTCCGAGACAGCTGAAACTCTCCATAAGAGACATTCGGTGGTGTTGGAAGGAATTGGGTTACCCAAAAGCTGTTATGGGTAACCCCAACGGGAAACAGGCGCAGGTGGAGGCATGGCGAAGATTTTGTGCGGAGGCGCTCCACAGGATGCCGTACAATCACTTTTGGACTCTCGCCGATGACAAGACTGAGAAAGGAATCAAGAAACAGAATGCTGCCCTTCGATCCTATTTCCCACTCGCGATGGCAGGGAAAAGCGCATGGGAAACCGGGATGGAATTTTTCGAGAGATGGGAAACTGCCAGACTGCTGGCACCGGAAGGAGCGAAGTGGATCGCGAAGAAGAAGAAGGTGCAGGGCCTCAAGCCAGGTGTGAGCCACATCGAAAATGAGAAGGACGGGCGAAAGGTGGTCGTCTACAATGTCCCCGTCGAAGGGCCACAAAAGAAAGGCAAGAAGGAAAAAGAGCCAGGCGACTGGTTCGTCCAGGTCACCGAGCCGGATCCGCATTGCTGGAAGAGCATGGAGGCCCTTAACGACAATGAGAAATGCCGGTTGTTGAAGAAGGTTCTCAACTGCGAGGTTGTCTGGGTGCAGACAGGGTCCTCCGCGTTGGCGAAGCAAAAGAAGCTGGGGATGCAAGAGGCAGTGCAATTGGTGAAGTGCGATCGCATATTGGTGCGGTTGTGGAACTACTACCAGTTCAAGCATGAGAACCGGCCAGACAGTGACTGGACCACTAAGTACCCCTTCCTGAAAAAACAAGAGGCGATTTTGGCAAAGTTTGAAGGGCAGGGGCTGGATGCAGCGTTGTGGGACGGGAGCAGGAAACTTGTCAGCGACTCCTCCTTGTTCAAGGACTGTCTGCCCTACATGGGTTGTGAGGATGACAAGTCGATCAAGGCGACAGAAAAGCTAGTCCAAAACAAGAAGTTGCCCATCGACTGGAAGAACAAGGTCCTCTCCGTGTTGACCGGCAGCAGGTCGAAAAGCATGGAAGTCGCGCTGTCCGAAGGGATGGTGCACATTCTGTGGAACGACTCGAAGGACGTCACAACTATTGCCCCGTTCGGCGTCGACCCTCTGGATGCGCAGATGAAGGTCGTGGAGTTGGAGAGGGCGGTCGGAATCATGAAATGCCACACGTGCGTTCTCGAGTTGTGCGAACCGGTGGACATCAAACAGTGGACAGCTAAAGTCTTCAAGAGTTTGAATGCCCTCGTGGAGCACTTGTTCCCCTCGCACTGGACAGTAGTCGCGTTCGTCCCCCGTGAGCACGACTACTACTTCATGACCAGCCAACACCATCTGTCTGTTGTGAAGGCAATGGCTGGGAAGTGGGTGAGGAGAACGCAGCAGAAGAAAAGTTTCGGTGTCGGCCACAACTTGTACTCCTTGGACGACCGCATGTACATCCTTTTCAAAGGCGACGACTTGCGGGAGAACACATATGTTGTCTACGACGCGAGGTTGGCGGCGGATGATGCTGCCGCGGTGGGGGCACTTCAGAAAGTGACTCCCACTGAGATATCCGACATGCCGTTCAACGCTTGTGAATGGCCCGTCGTGATACATGGGCATGATCCCGTGGTGTACAAGGGCCATGAGCGGAACCCCACACAATTCGCCCATCTGCTGGAATTCCTTTGCGAAAAGGGGGACGACATCATGTTCCTCGGGAAAGCGCACGCACAAGTTGTGTGGGAGGTTTTGAAGGGTGGTCGCAACGTCATCGCGTTGGAGGGGAATTCGGAGTGGTTGCAATTCACGTTGGATTTCCTGAAAACCGCGGTCAACTCGGGAGCATACCACTGCGAGTTCATTACAAAGAGTGAGAAGCCGAGACGCGTTTGGGATCCTTCGACGGACATGTGGTTCAAGCTAAGCGCCCGGAAAAGGAGCAGGATCTACGAGTTCCTCTTCTTCGAGAAGAGTCCTGCGAGGGGCACCGACATCGATTACATGCGCCGCAAGGAACACATGTTGGCGCTGCTAGACAACTATCACGGCGCCATGCGCCTGAACGCGAAGAACTTCCTGGACCGACTGGAGTTATTGTACTTTGTCGAATCCGAGCCGGTCCTGAGGCTCGAGAGTTACGGTGCCTTGATCGACGCTGACGACTAGTCCCTCACCGGTGTTGTCTTCGACACCGGTGCACCTGAGGAGGATAGCGACACCGAGGAAATTGACATCGACTACCGCCTTGCTCCGGTGCTTCCATCCCCGGCCTCCTCGTCGGCGAGTCCCTCAACAAACCGGCCTGCACAAGCGACGCCCGTGCGGAGGACCCCTAGTAAGTTGTTGGCGAGATTGACACCTCGGCCTGCTGCGCCTCCTCCTCTGCGTCCAGGGTGTCAAGTCCCCCTGCAACATCCTTCTCGGAAGGATGAGAGCATCCACTTCGAAGGGCACGACCACACGCGTTCCACGGAGGCAGACTGGGGTCATGACATGATTTGGCACCCAGGGACTATCCAGCCCGCAATTCAGAAGGGGGAGTGGGTCATGGCCATAGTCGACACTGACGGGGAATGGAAGCCGTCCGAGCGCCTGGCCAAGTCCAACTACTTGGATATCGCGAGGAATGCTGTGGTGGACAAAGTGACGTCAGAGAACAGCAACCTGCAGCCCGCCGACCCGGCCATTATTGCCACTGCTGATCGCTTGTTTCGGGAACTTCATGACAAGCAGTGGTTGGAACTATCTGACGATTTCTACGACCTCGAGACGAGCCCTTCGAAGAAAAAAGGTAAACTGGAAAGTACCCCCGTCGACAGGGACCCAGGGTAGTGTGGGAGGAGGACCTCCGAGCCCCCCCCCGACCGGAGGGGGGGGAGGCAGTGGCCACGAGGAAGGAGGTGGCGGAGGCAGTGGCCATACGACATCAGGGGGAAGCACGCCGACATCATCGCCTGCCCCTGGCGGTCAGGGCAGGATCGCGCACAGCGGCGTGGGGGAAGGGGGGGTGAACGTCACACACTCCCCAACAGCAGGGAGCGGCAAGTCGGGGAAGTTCGCCCGCATCCGAACGTCGCAGACGGAGGACCCAGTGCCCGTGGAGGCAGCGAAGTCGGCCGGCATCCGCACTTCGGCGACTCTGGAGCAGGCAGCCCTTCCCTCGTGGACTGCATTCGGCTCCTCCGGTGAAGTGGGGCGGGGCTCATGTGCAGGGGATCCTGTCTCCGCCGTGAAGGGCAAGTCCGCGGGCATCCCTACCAGGGCGGACGACGTTCAGGCGAGTGTACTGGTCTAGTGGAGCTCTACAGGAGCACAGGCGTCGGAGATGGGCGCCGCCCTGGCTGTGCGGGAGGCGACGTCACCGGCCCTTCGACAAGGCCGATCTGCGGAGTCACAGAGAGAGATTGCTGGTGCAGCGCCGTCCGCCTTCCTTGCGACGAAGTCCGCCGGTATCCGTACTTCGTCCGTGACATGCTTGCAGTCGGAGGAGGCAGGGACGACGGAAGGTGCTACGTCTGTTCATACAGACGACCGCTCCTTGGGATCCGCCTTGATGCGGCTGCAAGGAGCCGAGTCGCGTGAGACTGACGGGGGGGAAGAATGGGTGGAAGTCGAGGGCGGGGAAGAAGGGGAAGACGGTGAAGAAGGAGGACTCAGTATTACAGACGAGGAATCGGTGGATGCCGGAGACGAGGATGTCTGTGGGGAGACATCTAATTCGTTCGGTCTGGTGTACGCCATACCAGGTGAAGGTGATATCGACGACGACGCGACGGCAATGGAGATGGAGACGCAGGTGGTTAGTGGCCTTTCCGTGGACCACAAAGAATATGATGCCCTTCACCTGGCCACGGCGGTGCATCCCCCCGACGGGTGCGACGAGGCTATCATGACAGTGAGCCCGGCAAAAACGACTCGCCGTCTTAGCGTCAACGAGGTCATTGATAGCATACTGGGCGACGTGCAAGCTAAAACACTTCCATCCACCCCGTCAAAAGACGATGCCCTTCTCAGCAACGAAACTTTCGCGGTCGGAGACTTGGCGCTCATCCAACCGTGCTTTCCGGTACCCTGGTCACCGCTCGCAGGAGGAAGGGGGGGGGTTGTTAAGGGCCGCCAGCACATCACGTCCCCGAAAAAGTGCAGGGGAGGCACTCCGGCCCTGGCTGTCCTCGCCTTACCAGCGCCCACGTCGCCGACGAAGGAGCGGAAAGAAAAACAAGCTGGTAAGCATTGACGATCGTCGCGATGCAGGCACTCCCGCGTTTCGGGATTGCCGGTTTATGCCCCACGTTAGATGGACAAAATTCCGCTTCACTTGTCAGCGAGGACCAATTGGCCTCTTGTTCTTTAACACACTGTCACGCTTTATTCTGTGACCGCTCATTCGCTCCTCCCTCTACAAGTCCTTTGTCGCCGTCTCAACTTTCTATCTCTGGCCGACACCTGTAGTGCGGATACCGGCGGACTACAAGATAGACCGTACGATGAACGATTTTCGCAGCGACGAGCTTGTGTGCATTCGCACATAAAACGACAAGCGCAGTCTAGCCCAAGAACCCTGCACATGACGACGGAGGACCACATCACGCCAAAGAAGAGGAATGTTTACAAATGCCGAAGTTCGGATTCCGGCGCACTTGCAGCTACAACCAGCAGGTCAGGCCGCAGAACCGGGTTTGGTCCTGACACTCGAACTGCGGAAACCACCGGAAAAACGGTAATACGGAAGGTCTGTTATGAAGTTCGCCGGCATCCGAACTACAAGTGTCGGCGCGAGGTGGAGCACGCCCCGTTGGTCGGTGTTTGCGAACTGTGGCTGCAAGTCCACTGGAATCCGCACATCAGCAAATGCCGACTTTCCACCTCGCGCCGACACTTGTAGTGCGGATACCGGCGGACTAGAAAACATACCCTTCGAAGTTCCGGTCACCGCTGTTCCAGTGTTAGGATCAAACTCGGCTGGTCCGTGTCTGCTAGTGGTAGCTGCAAGTCCGCCAAAATCCGAACTTCAGCATTGGTAGGCGTTCCTCTTCTTTGGCCTGATGTGGTCTTCGTCGTCATGTGTGGGGTCTCGGGCTCGACAACGCTCGTCGTTTTATATCCGAATGCACGCATGTTTGTGGGCTACATTATCTTTCACATTGTCACTTTCGTCGAACTCCTCTTGGGAATCATATATTCATTTCGGGTTCTATCTGTTCTCTGTTTTACAGGGGTCCGGTCGTCTCGAAAAAGGAGTTTCTCAAAATATCCGGCACGTGTATTGCAGAAACTTCTGAGATTCACGACAGGAAACAAGAATATGTTAAAGGCATCAAGGGTTGATGTCGAGATTGGAGAGAAGGAGCATGCCTTAGCCATTGACAAATTTCTTTCCCTTCTACCTGCGGAGAAGGGGACATATCCACAATTTGTGACTAGGGGTCAGGCCATGTATGAAAAATACTTAGCGACGTGTCGTGCGGTGAACGACAACCTTTAGAACTTCCTTTCTCACTTCCCCGCGTGTGCGTTGGTCGATGATGTGCAGCTCGGGCCACAGAACCTGCAGCCTGGGGGGGGCATTTCGCTACGGCGATTGCGCCTCAAGTCTCGCGGGTTATGGACGATGTTTCTCGCAGCGTGGTGCCTCCTCATCATGTCCTCTCTTCCTTTGCGGATAATCAATTCACAATCACGGCGAAAGATATGCTCACCGTTTTGTAAGTCAATGGCAAGATCAATGATGAGGTGGTGAATTTCTACATGGCCCTTCTGGGGTCGACGACATCCGCGACACGTGCACGACCATCAGGCCTTCGAATCTTCATCTTCAATTCTTTCTTCTTCAGTATGCAGCAACTTCGAGGACACACTGGGGTGGAGAGGTGGGTTAAAAACGTTGATCTGCTTCAGTTCGATATGATCTTCGTTCCGGTGCACAAACATAATGATCACTGGATCCTCCTTTCCGTTAATTTGAGAGACAATGTCTTCGAAATTTTTGACTCTTTTTCTCGCGTTAAAGCCGATTCCAGTTTCTACCGTAGTGTTTTCGAGTTGATTGTACAGTATTTAGAACGTCATACCTCACATAGCCGGTCGGATAGGAGTTGGAAGACTATGGTTAGAAAAATTGTTGTAGAAGGAGTTCCAAGGCAAGTTGATGGAGCTAGTTGCGGGGTGTTCATGTTAACATTTGCAACGCTGTTGCAAAGTGGTAATCGACCCCCTTTCAGATTCTCGAGTAAAGATTTGCCTGTTATTAGACGACAACTGGCAACATGTCTTTTGGAGTCACGTTGTCTTTGACAGTTTTCAATGACTTGTACAAAATTCTTTAAATGTATTTCATTCTATGGCAATTGTATTTGGTAACATAAGACATTATTCAACTGTCTTTCTGAGTTCAACATTGTTTTCTTCATTGGGTATGTTTTTCGTTGTCTTTGGGATGCTCGCTGTCGGTATGGCAGTGGTACTATTTTCGTGCAGTTCAACATTGTTTTCTTGTCGTTGGATGACTTTTTCATGTGTGGACTTAGTCACCTGAGTCTCTTATCGTGCAGTGGAACAATTCGTGTTGCTTTCTATGATTTCTATTGCAAGTGAAACGCACAGGGCACCGGCATCGAAAGTTCGGATATCGGCGGACTACAGCCTCTTCGCCCCCCCGGCAACAATCTTATGTAGGTTGTGGTACATAAGATTGTTGTCGGGGGGGGGCGAAGAGGCTGTACTCCGCCGGCATCCGAACTTTCGATGTCGGTGCCTTGTGCGATTCACTTCCTCTGTATGTTGTGTGTGGAAAGTAAGGCGTGAAATTGGATTACTGCCCCTTGCTTGTCACGACGGTTTGCAATTTTGCTATTTGAAGGCATCTGTATTCTTGCGTGTCTTCTAGCCCTTAAATGACGTTCTCTCACTCTCTTCTCGTGTAGTGGAACAACTCGTGTTGCGCTCTATGATTATTATTGCATGTACGACAACCTACATAAGACTCTTGTCGGGGGCGGGGGCGAAGAGGCTGTAGTCCACCGATATCCGAAATTCCGATGACGGTGCTCATTCGTTTTCACCTGCGCTTGTCCTGTTCTGCTTTTGCACTGCTCTTAGAATTAGTCCACTTGTGAAATTTTTTTTTGGGGTGCATGGCAGTTTTAGACACAGTCGCGGGCGTGAGATTCATCTTGCATTTCCACGTGTCGTCCGCGGTGTTGCTTGCATTTCCGCGTGCCGTGAGGTGCCCCTGCGCCATCACGTAACGGCCTCGTTGGGAGCAACTCTATGGGGGCACTGGTTTCTCTGAATTCACTACAGTGGTCGCCTGCTGTCCAACTGCCTGTTCCGCCCCACTGCTCGAGTGCACCCATAACTTTTTCCTGTTGGTTATTCCGCTGCGAGCGCGCGCCTGGCCTATACAGGCACGGGCGTTAGCTTACGCTACATCATTCACAAGCCATGTGTGAGAAACGTAAGGTTGGGGGTTCAAATCCCTTTTTCCGCTCGTATCACCGCAACGTGGCGCACTATGTGGCACCCATAAGACCAGTGTCCGACATGAAGTCGGCCTGGATTAAGGTGGCCAGCCCCGATGCGGGCCGACGCACTATGTGGCACCCATAAGAGCAGCACGCTGCTCTTATGGGGGATTGGGGGAAGGCTCAATCCCGGAGCAGTAAGCGCGGTAGTTCCCTTCTTCCCTTCCTCAACTCTGCCCACCAGAACTTTCGACGTTCCAACATTCAAACACAACAAGGAGTCGACGTCATTGTGTTGCTGTGATTATCCATCAGTGGGGGTCGCAGGTTGTGCTGCTCAAGGCACCTTGCTCATCACGATCAGAAATAAGTATGGATCTCAGCACACTTATCAAACTTCTCCAACAAGGATACAATCAAGGCGCCAAGCTCATCACAATCGAAAATAAGACTTAGTATGGATCTCAGTACACTTATCAAACTTCTCCGATAAGGACACAATCAAGACGCCTTGCTCATCGGAATTATACATAAGTATGGATCTCGACACACTTCCGCATATCAGGCACACCTTGCTCATTATAAACAAGTATGGATCTCAGCACACTTCCGCATATGGGGCGAGTGGATGGGTGAGTGGATGGGTATGCCTAGGTTGCTTGGGCTGCAGCTGAAACTGAATTCGTTCAAAAGAGGACACAATATAATGTCCTATTTTAACGAATAACGTATTATTCAACCTATAACCCCCACAGTCTTTACTGTGCTCAGTCTGTTTGACAAGGATAAAGTCAGGATGGATGCGTGGAAGAAACTGTTTTGGGATCGATCTGAAGTCAGAATCTACCTATGGCTCCCCAAAAAAGTTGGTCCAGAAGTAAAGAAGGACCAGCTCATGAAGGACTTTTATTGGGTTGAGTTCCGCCATATTTTGATTGAGGTCCAGGCGGCCTTCATCCATGATTTTGGACAACAGGTCAAAATTGTGGATTCCATTAACCCATTACCATCCTATGTGACTAAACGAGATGATTATCTTATGTTAGCCCTTGACCTGCCAAAAGAGCAGCTGTTCACAATGGATGATATTATTCCATTTAAGATGGGAGGGCGTGTCTACCAGATTCACACTGCACATAAATTTCGTCCCTGGTGCTTTAAATGTAAAGCCTATAGCCACCTCCACTCGGATTTTGCTTGTTCCCATCATCCTCAGCATGCGGTCCCGCCTGATTTGAGACTCAAAAAGGATCCACATAGACCCAACAGATGGCTCCCAGCGGTAGCTGGTTTTGAAGGGTGGGTATACTGGGAAGATTTGAACCAAACAGGCCAGCCAGTGGGTTGGTCTTGGGAAGGGAGGAGTGACTTTCACAAATCCCCCCGTCTGCCGGCTGATTGGCTCCCTCCCCCACAATCTTCATCCCATCCTCAACCTGCTAGCTTATCAAAACAGGGACATATGGGGACATCAAGACCTCAGGGAGCGATGGTGAACGATGGTGCTTCATCTGGGGTATCTGCGTCATCTCGGGGAGGTTAAAAACTGGGGGGGGATAGGAATAAAAATAAAAGTCCAACCTCCTCTTCAACTAGCGATATAGAAAAGTCCCCTGGACCGAAAGCAACTGATTATGTTCCCAGGCATGGTAATGGGGGCACCCAGGAATGGAAAGAAGTTAAAAAGAAGGGATCGGGGAAACAGTTGATTGATTCGTCCTCTCAGGGTCAGGGGTCGTCTGCTGCACAGCTGAAGGAAACTGAGTTGAGTAGATCCATCTCAACTTTGGAAACAGGTTCGATCAACTCCAAATCTAGCCCAATTAAGCTAAGGATTCCGGACAAACACTTCGAAGTTGTTCCAATGGACATTGATCCTTTCAAGGATGCATTTGGCCCGACTCCTATGGAAGTTGAGTCAATGGAGTTTTTCACTCCCCCTCCATCAGTCTTGGCTGATAACAGTGGAAGAGTTGGGAGTGCTGATTTCATGGTAGCCTCAAACTTCAAAAGTGT